TTGCGGCAAACATTGCAAGGGCAAAAAAGGATTGTTAAGGCATCAAAAATCATGCAAAATGTGCAGATCTCTCAAAACCAAAACTTCTGATGTTTAAAAACCAACAGCACCTCCAGATCCGTGCAAAATGTGCAGATCTCTCAAAACCAAAACTTCTGATGTTGAAAAACCAACAGCACCTCCAGATCCGGACCGGTCGAGTTTGGAGCACAAGCCGACCCAAACGGCTACCCATAAACCACTGCAGGGTGTCAAACCACCAACGTCTTCTACGAAAAGGACTGAGGCAAACGCATACTTCCAGATAGAATTAGAATGCCTCAACATCATGAATGTCGACAACTTTGCCATTCGCTTTCAACAAATAATCTATTTATATTTCGCAAAAAATTATGGGTACACGAAAACGCAAATGACAAAAAATTTGAGTATAGAATGCTCGATTAAGAAGTTGAAAAAAAACTAAAACAGTTAAAAACTAATAATTGCAACAATCTTCAATCTTAGTAAATTGATTAGAAAAAGAATAAAATTACAAAAAGAAAAAACTAAAACGGTTAAATACTTAAAAACCAATAATTGCAACAATCTTCAATCTTAGTAAATTGATTAGAAAAAGAATAAAATTACAAAAAGCTAAATCAATCAACAAAAATGCCCCGACTACAACTCAATTTAACAAAAATTTTTGGAGGGCGTGCAAATAGGCATTTTTACCATCGCAAAAATACTCCACCTCAGTTCAATGTGGTCGACGGCGGCAATTTCTTTTGTGATGGGTTGATGTCTGATGGTCGAATTTCATTCGAATTACCGGACTGGTTTCCGCCTCTACCGACACCATCATATGCGGGAGACATTGATCCTACAGGAAAGTTGCATCAATTGTTCGAAAATGTAATGCCAAAGCAACGCCCTGTCTTCTGAATCAAGTTTCAACAATTGCTCTGAAAAGGTGCTCAATACTCCGCACATACCTCCATAAATTAATAACCAGTTGTTGGAAAACCGCAACAATCCCAACGTGCTGGCGAAATGGTTTAACAATCTTAATTTATAAAGAAATTTATTGATCTGAACCTTGCCTGGTGCAAATGGTCGGATGAGGACAGATAAGGGCTGTGTATTTGGAATAAGAAAAAAAGATGGTTCATACGATCTGTTCTTACCAAGGTTGACAATAGACAACATACCGAGTGTCAAACCTTTGTTAGGCAAAGATTTTTTAAGTCATTATGAAATCCTTGTCGATTGCACCAATAGACTGATTGACACAATAACAAAAAAAACGATTACAACAAACGTTTTGCAGAGTTTCGTTCATCAAATTCACATCAATAAACCGCCAGTTCCCCAGATAGTAACAAAATTCATCAGTAATTTTCCAATGTTAATTGAACCAAGAAATGAAAATCAGATTAAAATCAACTCAAAAGTAAAGCACATTATCGACACTGGTGAAAGCCAACCAACATTTGCCAAGGCTCGCCAACTCTGTGAAGAGAAATATAAAGTAGCAAAAAAGGAATTTAGGTCTTTACTAAACGCCGGAATCATCAGACAATCTAAATCTCTCTGGGCTTCTCCACTCCATCTAGTTCCAAAAGGTACTCCTGGACAATGGAGAGCTTGCGGAGATTATCGTTGTGTAAATGCCATTACGAAACCAGACATATTTCCAATTCCAAATATTCACAGCATCTCAACTAAAGTACACTGCAAAAAGTTTTTTTCAAAATTGGACTTATTAAAAACCTATCACCAGATACCAGTACATGAAAACGATATTGAAAAAACAGCCGTAATAACACCTTTTGGACTCTTTGAGTACATGTTTATGCCTTTTGGTTTGCGAAATGCAAGATGTACATTCCGAAGATTCATGGATAATATCTTCCTAGGTACTGACTGTTTTTGTTTATCTAGACGACATTCTCATATTTTCAGAAAGCAGTGAACAACATGAAAAAGATTTAGAAACGGTATTTCAAATCCTTTGCGAAATAATTTGAGAATCTCCATAAACAAGTGCCAATTTTTCAAAGAAAATCTAAATTACCTAGAATTCAACATCAGCGGTGATAAACTATTTTCTACAAAAGAAAAAATAAACAAAACTGAAGAATTTCCAGTTCAAAATGATACTAAATCTACTGCAAACTCATTGTACAATTTGCAGATATGTATTTTCATTAACAGAACTAATAAAGTTACACCCAAACTCAAAAACAATAGTGTTTAATAACGAAGAATTGGAAACTTTAAAAACCATCAAATCTAAAGTTGCCAACGTAACCACACTTCTATATCCAGATTCAAAATGTACAAAATACCACTTAGTTACTGACAGTTCTGTTTACGTCATAGGTGCAGCACTGCATTAAAAAGTTGATTCAACTCCTGTACTAATAGGTTTCCACTCTAAAAAGTTAACCGAACCACAACGTAACTTTTCTACATTCGACAGAGAACTATTAGCAGCGTATTTGCCGTCATCCATTTTAAGCATCAGATTGAAGGAAGAAATGTAACTCTATTTACAGATTACAAACCATTATGCGCTGCTTACAAAAAAAACACCATTAAAGTCAGACGTTCAAAAACGATATCTTTCAATGATATCTAAATACATTGCAGTTGTCATTTAAATCCGTGGTGAAGAAAACGTTGTTGCAGATTGTCTCTTTCGGCCAGCAAATGCTGTAAAGATAGACATCTGTGACTTGTCGTCGATTGCCGAGCAACAAGAAATTGATGATAAAATGAAATTATTCAAGGATCAGTTAAAACAATATCCAATAGGCGATAACAAAAAAATATTTTGTGATGTATCAACACCATACCCCAGACCATAATTACCAGTTAATTTGAGAAAAGCCATATTTGACAGTCATCATAACTTCTCACATCCAGGTATCAAAACATCAATACGATTGATCATATCAAGATATTTCTGGCCAGATATAGACAAACGAATAAGAACATATTCAAGAGAGTGTTTAAGCTGTCAACAAAACAAAATTCACCGACACACGATCTCTACGATATCATTATTCAATTTACCGTCTGCACGTTTTGAGACTGTTCATATTGATAATGTAGGTCCGTTACCACCAGTCAAGCAAGGAAATGAAACCTATTCAAATCCATTCAGATATTTACTCACATGCATTGACAGAACAACTGGTTGGATCAAAGCAGCTCCAATGACAGAAATATCACCTTCAACAGTTGCTACAACTTTCTTGAACATTTGGATCGCTCGATTCGGTGTTCCTCTATATGTTGTAACAGATCGGGGTACACAATTTGAGAGCGAATTATTTAACGAATTATCAAAAATAATTGGATTCTACCGTTTACGTACAACAAGTTATCATCTATAAGCGAATGGAAAATAGAACGTCAACATCGTACCTTAAAAACAGCAATTAGTTGTCGTAAACAAAACTGGTTAGATGCATTAGCTGTCGTTCTTTTTGGTCTTAGAAACATAATAGATGAAAATGAAATATCCCCAGCAATAGCAGTAACAGGAACCAACTTGTTCTTACCAAGTCGATTTTTATTCCCAAATTCAAATGAAGATATAACATCTAGTCAAATCAAGCCACTAGCAAAAGAAATGTTCAAACTTAATGACTACCTTACAACTAACAATCAACATCACTCTACCCCAAAAGCTTACGTGCCAAATGAACTTTCAAACAATAGTTACATATGATTAAGAGTAGATCGAGTACGTCGTCCACTGGAAGCACCATATACAGGTTCTTTCAAAGTTATTGAATTGTTACCAGGAAATTTTCAGAATGTGTCAATTGATCGATTAAAGCCAGCTTGTTTATCATTACCTCCAACAACCAAACCAGAATAAACAACGAGAATAGTTCGATAACGAACAACAAACTTTTTACAACAGATACAACAAAACTAGCAACATCAGAGACAAAACCTACTAAAACACAAGAAACAGCAACAACAACATCAGGCGCAACAACAACACAAGACCGACATCAACTAGAACGGAACCAACAACCCAACACTCCAGAAAAGGGGAAACGAATAACATTCAACAAACGAAATGAATATTTTCATTTGTAAACGGCTCCGCCTTTTGTAGGGGAGTATATGAATGTTTGATCCCTACATGTTTTTCCAGATCATTTTTGCACAATGTTAAACTGCCGAATTTGGTTGGTTAAACAACTTTCACATAAAACGACATGGACTTGACTTATTTTTTTGACGCTTTTTTTGACAAATCCTTTCGGCCTCGCGCAAACTGGCTGATCTCGCACTAACTTCGTTTCAGAATATGTCCTGGTAAAATCGTTCTTTTGCGGCAGCATTTTTCCATTGGTATCTTAGTCGTTTCTTTTCCTTTTTTGTTTTGTCTTCTGGATTTTTTCACTGATGGCTTTCAACCATTTTGTTGTAACCGAAGGTTACCACACATTTTTCTTACAGGAAATCTGTGAAACATCGTACGTTACCACCGGTGCTGATAAATTTTATTTCACTAAACAGATCAACATCTTGCTTCGACAATGATTCGTTATCAAAAGCTGGAAAAAATTTTGCCCGTTTCCGGATGGAAATATTGCAGTCGGTCGCAGCGATACCGCTTACACTGTGGTTCTTGATGGATAAAAATTCATATACTCCCCCAAAAAGGCAGAACCGCTACAAATGAAAATATTTATTTTGTTTGTTGAATGTTATTCGTTTCCCTTTTCTGGAGTGTTGGGTTGTTGGTTCCGTTCTGGTTGATACCGAGTCCAGATGGATTCGCGCATTGCGATTACTGAGTGAGCAGTTTCCGCTATGTTACTGAGTTCAGATGGATTCACGCATTGCGATTTTTAACATACCAAGCATCCCATTTTGGTTTGATGTACTTTCAATCCTAGTGTTGTTGAAAAGCTTCTTCCACATAAACATTGATCTCTACTCATCTTTCTCTCTCTCCTTTTGGTTGGAAATCGGGGGAATTTTTCTTTAGTTAACATGTCTGTCGAGTTGCATTAAACTACAATAAAATTAGTAAATTTAAATTAGTTATTAAATTTTGCAATATATTCCATATGTCTTCAACAACTTAAACCGTAAACAAAAATCCAAAATTGAGTTGCAGCATTTAATAGATGAGAAAAGTCGCAAGCTATTATCAAAAGAGAACAAAGGAAAGTCTTTCAGCCTTTTTTGTCGTTGTTACATTTAATTATTTGTTTGTGTAAATAAAGCTTTCAACAAATATTGATATTGTATAACAATTGTCTTTCTGACAATGTGATTGGCTTATGCTTATTTTTAATTCTCGAATGACTAATTGTGTCTGAAACAATTAAAATCTAATTTATTTATAAATTTATTTATGTTTGTTAATTAATGCAGTGGGCCATTTCGGCCAAATGTTTAATCTAATTATTAAAATTTTTTGTTTTATGACATTTTAGAACATTTGAATTTTTACATTGTTTGGTAATTGTGTTTGTAAATCTGCTTTTTCAAAAAATTTGTTTTTGTGTTAAAAAATTTTGAAAATGGCAAAAATGGGAAACGAGAGGGAATGAGAGGGATAACGTGAGAAGAGTTAAAAAAAAAGTGAAATGGAAATTTTCTGGAACGTTGTCATAAATAGGAATTCAGGAGGAAATCGGGAATGAGAAAAAAAAATGGAGAGGGAATTTGGAACAAATTACAATTCTCGCTCACCTTCTAGTCAACGGCACAAAATAGATGAAGTCGTTCTCAAATAAATAAAAAAAACGTTGCACCAATCAATGATACTAATAAAATAAAACTTAGGATACAATAATTGTAAGACATCACAATTGGTCCTATAAAACAACTGCACTCATAAAAACGATTCTACTTTGAAGCGTAATCATGTAATATATGAATTTAAATGCCCTATTGATGACTGTGCGTGTCAACAACATTCGTGCATTAGTGTTACGACCACTAGACTAACAAGACGTCTCACAATGCATACACAAAGAGAAGTCATCAAATCTTATTTACAAGCTCGACGCCTTATTACTAACTTCAATAACAATGAAGAACAAAGAAATGACAACAACCAAGATGAAGAATACGACACCATCTAATAACTCACTTTACTAAAAAACAATCTTTGCTTTGTTTAAAGAAACTATATAAACCAAATCTGCATTGAAGATGATTTATGAAAAATCAAAATAAGGCCATATCTGCATGATGATTTTTGATAACAACAGTTTCATTCAATTTTCATGATGAACTTGGATAATAATTCTATTTTCAAAAAATTCAACTATTTCCAGAAAATTCTAGTAAGGAAAATTGAAAAGACAAACATTAAATTGATTAATGCCAATAATTCGGTAGAATTCATACAGTGCAGTATATATACGTACATATATATATATATATATATATATATATATATATATATATATATATATATATATATATATATGCAAATTTCATTGAAATTGTTTGCCCATTTTGCATTAATTAACTTCTTTATAAGACATTCAACGAGGCGGTATTGTTTGAGTTCATATTTATCTAAAACTGGAATAAAGCTAACAGCGCTGTTTCGGCGTAATGCCATCTTCAGAGCCTAAATATTGTTTAAACATATAATTTAATTAAAGTAAATGCCTAATGTAAAATGTGAAAATATAGAAAATAAAATATGTATTAAATTGTGAAATAAATTAACCTTGTTGTAAATATCATAATAACTAAAGTTTATGTAGATTATATAAATAAAATAATGTAATTTAAATAAAATGTTTAGTAAAATAATTAAAATATAGAAATTTTATAAAAGTTTTAACATGGTTGAGAAACGTTAGTGAAAACTAATTACGAATGACATGTGCGCCAGATATATAATATTGCTGTGTATGCGTTGTGAATACAACTATTGCGGTTGAATATGTGTGATACGAGTTTCCACATCAGACCTACGGATACATAGTTAAATATAAATACATATATGCACATGCCAGATACATATCTATGTATAGATCAAGTATTTAGGATCACATAATTACATCAAACGACGCATGACGGTTTGTGGAAGACGCTGGGGTCCAAACTGCGTGTTGATGGGTTGAAATGTATTCAACGTAGGAAGATATTCATATCGTTGGTGTACACGCCAGATCTGTGGATTCACCCCAACGGCAACAGTAGGTGTGAGATCGTGATATTGAGAAAACAATTGCAAAGTGTTGTCAAAGCTGTTATATTGTTTATTGAGTGAGGGTTTATGCTTGTTGATATGAAGGGCTTCTTTAATTTTAAGGCGAACTGGATCGGGTTCAATAATCAGGATCGGTGTGTTGGGATCCAATTTGTTCCTCGTAAGCGGTTGATGATGTACCCGTTCCATATGGTTTCTTTTTTATTAATAAAGCTTTTGTCATTCTCAAATTGCTTATATTATGGTTTTCAAAATAATATGATTTAGTTTTTTAATTAAATTTAAGAATATTTAGGTCAATAGTAAAGTTAAATTACTTTCTGTTATCTTTCTGTTTTCTGTTAACACTCCCTAAATAGTTTAGTCTAATGAATTTGCTTTTTGAGTTTTGTTTGCTGAAATTTATACCGCAATTATCGAATCACTGAGTGAGTGAGTGAGTAGTGTAAGGGTTCAACAGCTGTTCCCAACAATAAAAATTATAATCGTTCCCGAAATGTAGCGATAACTGCGAATGTGGACACCGGCTGTCACGTTGTCTTCGGAGCTTCTGGCGGAGGCCTCGTTGACTGCCGACGTGTTGTCACTTCACCGCTGTTGAAATGCCGCGTCGTTTGTTGAGCACACTGTCAGTTTTTTAGTTTACCACCAATTACTACCGACCAGCTTTCGCCAACACCAACCGAACAATATTTTTTTCTCTTTAAAACTTCCCGGGTCTACTTATTTAAACAACTCTGTACACCCTGCGGATTGGCTGCTATTTTTACCTGCTTCATTGCCATTTGTCTATCACCACTATCACAATGTATTCATACCCTTTGCATGTTTATTTCCCGGTCGCAGCTAAAACCCTGACATACCTCTCCCCCAAAAATTTGAATATTCTACAGGGTGGAATATTCACTCCCATCCTACCGACATTCCTCATCAGCCACCTCTTCAGTCACCATCATCCTTGTGAGTATGTCCACAATGTTTTTACTTCCCGCCCGTTATTTGATATGTAGATCATACTCCTGCAAGGCCAGCACCCATCTCATCAATTTCGAACTTTTTGGAGCCGTTTCTGTCAAATATGTCAACGGATTATGATCCGTATAAACATAGATTGAGGACAAACAAATCCAACTTCGGAATTTTTGTATTGCCCACAGTATGGCATATGCCTCCTTCTCAATGGTTGACCAACGTCTTTGCACATTTGATAACTTTCTGCTTGCGAACGCAACAGGTTTTTCTTTCGCCATGTCATCTTGTTGTACTAGGCAACAACCAATAGTATGATCGCTAGCATCAGTAATCAGACCAGAAGGACGTGTGTAATCAATAGTGTATAAGCTGGTGGCGTTCTTTAATTGTTGTGTAACTTCGTCCAGGCTCCTTTAATGTTCTACCATCCATCGTATCGTACTACCTGCTCGGCTTTTAGTCAAATCAGTAATGCTAAAAAGTCTTTTGGCGAGTTGTGGTATAAAACTCTGGAAATAGTTAAAAAATCCCAGAATCTTTCGTTGTTCCGAGTTGTTCTTCCTTATCTTCCTTACGTTCCATTTTCCGAATACCTACCTCTCTTCTGATTCTTCTGTCTTCCTCCTCCAACTTCATCCGCCACTTTCTTTCTACCTCCTCCAACATCAACCGCGACTTTCTTTCTTCCTCCAACATCAACCGCGACTTTCTTTCTTCCTCTTTTTGCTTCGCTTTCTCCTCCGCCAAATTCATCCGCAACTTTCCTTCTTCTTCCTCATGTTGCCTGCACTGGGTCTAATTTACTCTCTTCTTCCTGATTATTTGTTTTTGACCTCGTCGACCGGTCCATTCTGAAATGATTTAGCGACTTTCGACCAACTTTCAAAATTAATAATTATTATATTTTGTTTACTTTTATTATCGTGATTCACTTTCGTCACACTCACGTTCAAAATTAATAATTATAAGATTTTGTTTACTTTTATTATCGCGATTCACTTTCGTCACACCCGCGTTCAAAAACTAATAATTATTAGATTTTGTTTACTTTTATTATCGCGATTCACTTTGGTCACACCCACGTTCAAAAATTAATAATTATTAAAATTTGGTTCACTTTTAACACTCACCGCTGGGGAACCTCGTTTCGAAGCTGTCGATATTTGTCGTACCCTCGCACTTCTTTTGACAGATATCCCACTTCTGACACCAAATGTAAGGGTTCAACAGCTGTTCCCAACAATAAAAATTATAATCGTTTCCGAAATGTAGCGATTACTGCGAATGTGGACACCGGCTGTCACGTTGTCTTCGGAGCTTCTGGCGGAGGCCTCGTTGACTGCCGACGTGTTGTCACTTCACCGCTGTAGAAATGCCGCGTCGTTTGTTGAGCACACTGTCAATTCACGTTTGCTGAATTGGTGTGTATCTTGTTGAATGTGTTGTCAATCTACGTTGCTGAACTGACGTGTCGTTTGTAGAACGCAATGTCGCTTCACGCCTGCTGAAGTGACGGTTAGGCTGTTGAACGCGTTGTCAACTCACGTTTGCTGAATTGACGTGTCGTTTGTAGAACGTAATGTCGCTTCACGCCTGCTGAAGTGAGGGTAGGCTGTCGAACGCGACGTCAACTCACGTTTGCTGAATTGACCTGTCGTTCGTTATCAGGTTTGCCCTGACTACTATGGAATTCAATAACCACCAAAGTGACTGCTTTACCGACTGTACCAACCACCGATGTAACTGCTTCCGCCAACTGTACCAACCACCGACGAAACTGCTTCCGCCAACTCTACAAACCACCGACGTAACTGCTTCCAATAACTGCACGAACTACCAGCGTAACTTCGAGAATTTTTTAGTTTACCACCAATTACTACCGGCCAGCTTTCACCAACCGAACTATATTTTTTTTCTCTTTTAAACTTCCCGGGTCTACTTATTTAAACAACTCTGTACACCCTACGGATTGGCTGCTATTTTTACCTTCATTGCCATTTGTCTATCACCACTATCACAATGTATTCATACCCTTTGCATGTTAATTAACCGGTCACAGCTAAAACCATGACAGAGTAGAATTCATCTAAAAATAAAGTGAGAAGAAGGAGGGCGATAGATTACGGCAATATAAAAAGATAGAAAAGAAGACTTAAGAGTCTTATAAGTGGTAACAAGACATTCAAAAGAAGAAAAATTAAAGGAAGTATTAATGAAAGCAGTAAATAGAGATTTATAAAATAGATAGACACTTCCATAAGAAGAATGAGAAGATGATAGAAGATCTTTTGGAGGTCTAGAGAGTTCAGGAAAGCTGTAACCATCAGGAGTAGCATGAATAAGAGAGGGAGAGTTAGAGTCCTAGTGCTAAGTTTTAGTAAAACTAAAAAAATCAGGTAAGGAGGAAGAGATTATTTGATGGATATATAAAGCAATTTTTTATTAATTCAATCAATCAATCTTCGTTTTGCGTCCAGAGAACCGGTTCCCCGAGGTAGGACGTTGTTCTCTTTGCCATCAACTTTTTGCGCCAAATTAGACGATCAGTTGTATCCATTTCATTTAATATTAGAGCTTTCATGTCTTGTTCGATTGTTTGCAACCAGGACTTTTTTGGACGGCCTTTGGGACGTTTGCCAGGTATTTCAGGTACTTCAACATCTGCAAGAGAAGTTATGGCACTGTTTCTACTTTGTTTGGCATGACCAAACCACCGCAGACGGTGTTGCCGGCATTCGTCCTTTATATCATCTAAACCAGCAGGACGCAGGATTTCGGTAGACTTGATGTGGTCCTTCAGACTAATTCGTTGCATCCATCGGAGCATTTTCATGTCAGTTCGTTGAAGTTGTTGTTCCAGTTTGGTTGTCATTGGCCATGTTTCTGCACCATATAACAAAACTGGACGTATCACAGATTTATAAAATCTTGATCGTAGTGGTAGTGGGAGGTCACGCCGCATTAATTTAGAAGCAAGAAGATGCCATTTATTCCAGGCTGCACGTATGCGTGCTCGAAGGCAGCTTCAGCTGTTCCAGTACAATCCAGAACATCCCCTAAATATTGAAACGATGTGACTTTATCTACCTTAATGGCTTCAAAAACATTGCTATTTCGAATTCGTTGTTGTGGATTGATGCAAGCAAGACAAACAAAATTTGAGCAACGTTTGTGACACCACTGGTTACACTGCTGACACTTGATTGAAGTTTTACCTACACCAGCTTTACAAACTGACCAGGGCCATCGTCCAGTAACTGTGGATTGGATCTGTGTTTCCAACCGTTGTGCTGACGAGAGTCTTAGTATTCGTATACATTTCCATCACAAGTCGAACAAGATATTCTGGAATGAGTTGTCGACGTAGACTCCACCTGATTGCTTCACGGGGAACTCGATCAAATGCTTTTTCAAGGTCTACAAAAATGTGTGATAGTTGTTGATGCTTTGCGAGGTACTTCTCTTGCAGTTGCCGAAGGATGTGAATTGCATCAATTGTTGATTTACCCTCTAAGAAACCAAGTTGATAATTTCCAATTGTGATGCACGACGTTAATCTTCTCTCAATGATTTTCTCGAAAATTTTCAGGGAGTGTTCTGACAGACGTATACCCCGACTGTCTATTAAAATTTTTCAAATGGCTGACAAACAATTCTTACCACAATTTTTGTCGTTTTTCCTATTTCGCTACTATTATTATTATTAACTGATGCAAGCAAGCCCACACACACAACATAGTTGAATAAAAAATATAAGTAGCAAGAGACAGATGATTTAAGTTTATTATCTGTCTATTTATCTATCTATCTATTTATCTATCTATCTATTCATCCATCCATCCATCCATCCATCCATCCATCTATCTCTCTATTTATTTCGATATTTCGATGTGTGTCAATGCCAACAAATATGTTGTTATTAGATAGGTAGATAGATAGATAGAAAGATAGATAGACAGACAGGTAGATAGATAAATAGCAAGGCAAAAATAAACAGCATGGTACAGAGACAAAACCAGTCATCTGGAAGACGACGAGACTATCCATCATGGGCAAGATGGCAAACATATCTTTGTACGTAAAGGGCCCAGCTTGATGTATCCTGTTCGATCTGAACTCTCCGGAGTTCAGTATGACTCCATCACATTTGATCCCCGTACTGATGATGTCTGTTATGAAGTTGCCTAGACTTGATTCTTTGAATAGACTTGAATTTTTTTATTTATTGATCTTATGTTAATATTAAATAGTGAAATGGATATTGGTATTTTTAAATCAATTATATTATTTAATTTAAATTAATTAATAGAATTATTAATCTTATCATTAGTATTAATTACATTAGAGTGGGATTTAATAAAATTATTATACTTGCTATTAGTATTGTTATTATTAATATAATTGTTGTTACTAACTATATTTATTTTTTTTGTTAGATTTATTGTTATTATTAGCCCTAAGATTAAAGTAAAAAATTCACCGCCGAACTACTCTCGTCAGAGACAAAGGAATGTTAGAGAGGCTTAAGAGAAAGTCTCTAGAATAAGACATAATAATATTTATAAGTTACAAAAGATATAGAAAAAAATAGTCGTAGTAAAAAAGAAGAGAACTCACTTGTTCAGAAGCAAAAAACGAGAATCTACCCAAATTACAAAACCACCGAGAAAACGTGCCGCCATTACGCTAAACGTAAACATACAATATTTGACTGTTTTACTTGCTCTCCAGAGACCTGGTTCAACGCCAATAAGCCCGAAGTTTTTGTGATGAATTTATTTCAGTGTTAGAGCATATTACGTTATTATCATATCGCGTTTTGCTTGCTGGTGATTGCTGGAGAAAAACATGATGGCCTTCACAGTGTTAATTTACTAGAGGTTTTTTGGTAAGTTTCACCTGGTCAATCACATTAATCAACCGACACACATTCTTGGGGGAACACTTGATTTGAAAGTTAGTACTCACGATTTTCCTATTTCCAAAAATAAAATTTTTCCAAGTGGTTTTTCTGATCACAGTTTGATCCAAATAATGATCCCAATTATGACACTCACTTGCATAAAAACAAATGTAAAAAAATTAGAATCTGGCAAAACATATTATTCGACCAATCTTCGTTTCATATCAAAAATAATTGAACGTACAGTTGCTATACAATTAATAAATTATCTGGACTCAAACAGTTTAATACAAGTTAATCAATCTGGTTACAAATGTTTTCATTCAACAAAGACGGCATTACTGCAATTATTTTCAGTACTCTATTCTGGGATTGGTGAACAAAAAGTATCATTATTAACATTTTTGGGTATTAGTGCTGCCTTTGATTGCGCTAATCACCAGATCCTTATCAACAGACCCGTCAAAATAGCGCACGACAAAATAGCGCCGACAAGGTGGTGTAAAACAACAGTGCAAAAATTTCCAGACAAAATAGCGCACAACAAAAAAAACGCAAATTTCCCGACAAAATGGCGCACGACAAAATAGCACCGATTAAATAGCAAACGACAAAATGGCGCAAAAATAAATTCAAAAATCATCACTTATTTAATGTCAATTTTATAATTGAAATAGTAAAATGTAAATGCGCTGACACAAAATCATTAGATCAATTGTTGTAAACTATTATTTTTTAAACTTTAGAACAAAATTGTAAAAATGTCATGTCAAAAACTATTAACTTAATTTATTTATTGTATTGGATATGTTATAATTTTGACTAGTAACAGGATTTTGACTAGTCAGAATGCAATAAGTACCTTATTTCCGACCTGCAAAGTGCTCAAAACATATGTGCTGTAGACAAGTATTTTGGTAGTTGTAGTAAGTTTATTATTTTCCCAAACATTGTTTGAAAGTTTTGCTATGACTCGTGAGGTTTTGCAATTCGTTTTGAAAGTGTTTAAGTTGCTTGTAATTGTTAGCCAAAGATGCATAAAATGATTTACCACTTCAAAAATATGATCACCTATGTAAACAAAATTCGTTTTTACCACGGGCAAGTATTTTATAGTTTTGGTAAGACTTATGGTATGCCCAAATCCTCGACATGCATTTACCAGGGCATCAATGATTTTGCAGTCTCTCCGATGAGTATGAAACTACAAACAACAGCTCTCTAACAAGAATGCGACTTCTTTTTGTTTTAGTTTTAAGTCGAGCCAAGGTAAAATAATTTACCATCAGATGTTATAGTCTGAACGATCTCCTTTGTTTTTGTAGATTGTAACTATATTTGCATTTTTTAAATCCTGTGAAATAGAACCCCGTTCCCAGCAAAAGCATAGCAATATGTGAAGTGGCTTCAGTAAGGCATGTTTCCCAGCTTTAATGTTTTCTACAGAAATGCCATCTCCACCAGTTACCTTCCCGTTTGCAAGTGCATCAATGGTCCTACTAAGTTCAGTTTCAAAAGGTATCTCATCCAGTTCAGTGATAGTTGGCAAACCTTGAACTTTCGACAGCACACTTTTTATTTGATAGAGTGTTTAGCCCATCTTTCCATTTGAGATGCACGATCTTCAATTATTGACTTATAATATTAATAAATTCAAACTAAGTGACAATATTGAAACAAAAATCCGACATGTTTTTGAAATCCATTTTATATTTAATTTTTTTAAATAGCTAGATTTTGACAGGAGATCAAAATAAAAACCAAACATATCACAACGTGCGTTTAACGAAACTCGGGCAGTTATGGTAAGATTTATGGTATGTCCAAATCCTCGACATGCATTTGCCAAGGCATCAATGATTTTGCAGTCCCTCCGATGAGTATGAAAACAAAAACAAAAAAAAGTCGCATTCTTGTTAGAGAACAATATATTATAACATGTTTTACAACTCTTTCAGCATTAATGTCTAGAATAGCATTTCCATGTTGGCAGGTTATTGATTCGTAGTTTTATTATTATTATGGTGTCATTGGTTCATTATGAACAGAATCTTAATTTTTGAGCTGTTGTGGCTTTTTTTTAAAATAAGCGTGAAGACGATGTTTTTGTTAAAATGATTTGTAGTAATTTTTTATTTGATGAACTATCTGTAGGTAAAAAAGTGATTATTGATGAAATCGATTTGCTAAAACTCGATTCATCCGAATTTAAACCACCTGCTCGTGCCAACACGAGAAAGCAAGTTTTAATAGTGAATAAAGACAAAGATGACAAAGTTTAAATTGTGAAAGACATCAACGATGTTTTTAATTGAGAATAACTGTTTGGATAAAATAGCGACATTTGTCATTCTGAATGTTGAGAAGATACCTACTATTGCTTTTTAAAACTTGGATAAATTTATCAACAATAAACTAAGTTCATTTCAGAAGAATTAACAGCAAATTAAAATAAAGGTTGAATAATGTCACTGTCAAAATCTAGACCAAGAAACCTTGGATAAACTAATCAGCAGTGAATTGAACTCATTTGAGAACATGCTAATTGCCCTTGAAAAATTATGAATAATGCTAATAAAATTATTCAGGTTTTTTGTAAGTTTGATTGTCTGACAAAAACAGGTAATGGCAGTACCTACTCATCTTGCCTTTACACAGCTTCATTCGAGCTTGGGATTACAATGGCTTCAAGAATAAGAAATTTAATAATCCTGTAAATGGAACTAACGGCAGAAATATCGAAATTTTTTCTCGAAATTTCTCTCGTACTGATCTTAATTTACTAAAATTGTCCTTGCTAATACTTTTTTTTACCGATTGAATTTGTTGCATATTTTGATATTTCTAACTTTTCTATTTTTACTTTAAGTATAGAAGTTAATTAGTAGAAATTATGTACTTTGAAAAATTGTTTTAATAAATTTAATTGCTGTAATAATTAACAATTGATACAGTGTGGCAAATATCCATATGCTAGTAAATTATTTTCTGGTTGTGCATTAATTTTTATTGTGAAATATTCAGACATAATTTTTATAATATTCTTCGTAATCAACTGATGTCTTTCGAAACTCTGGTAACAGATCTTTAAGTAATAAATCAGATATTTATTTTTCTAAGCTTAGGACACACTCTTTTATGGAGCACTGTTTAGTTACTCCAATCATATTAATAAAGTTGTTTCTCATTAAAGTTTATTTTTATTATCATTACTTTTTTAATTTTTTGCTTTGTTATTTTGATATTATCTGAACGTGTTTTGTTGCTTAAGACTCATTATCTTTAATTTTACGTGTATTTTTGTTGGATGGCCAGGGCCATACAAGCTTTTTTTCAAGTCTCCCGGCGATTAACACTTGCTAGTTTTTCTGAATATAATTTATTTGAATTGAAGTATCTGATATGCAGTTTTTTGAAAATATCACTGCATTGCAGGTATAGTTCAATTGCAATCGAGTTTTTCAATTTTTCGTACGACGAATTTCAATTGGTCTTCAAGTTTGTTCTGTTTATGAGCAAATTTTTTTCCTTTGGAATAAGACATAATAGTAACGAGTGGTAACGCGTTATAGAAAAAAAAATAATTTGAGTAAAAAAGATGAGAGCTCACTTATTCAGAATCAAAAATCAAGAAACCATCCAAATTACAGAAAATTCACCGAGAAAGGTGTCGCCATTCACCATCACGCTCTAAACATAGAACATCACTAACGGCGTTTGCTTGAAAATTGAATTATAATTTTTTGTTAATTTTTTTTAGTCTTTATTATTGCAGCTCTGATATACGCAGAACCACTTACAATGTTACAGATATATTATCTGTATATCTTTTTATTCTTCATATCTTCAACCATTGATTTGAAGCAGCAATCTTCGCCACAAAGGCTGTTTATCCTTTTCACACGACATACACATGTATTTTATGTGCACGCGCAAGCACCGCATCATATACGCTGAGTCATTAAGCCATCAAGATGTTTGACTCAGCGAGCATTTGAACCACTGAGCCATCTCGCCGGCCAACATGCGACAACTTTACGTTGTCTACCCATTTATCATTACCAGCCTCAAAAGGATGGACGGCTGGGTTGGCCGGGAGTCGGCTACCCGGATGAACCTGTAGAAACTGCAAGATTTGAACCCGAGTCGTGGAAGTGGTATACGGACACGCTAACCACTCGGTCACGAAACCCCTAAATTACTAACTTAGCGTACAATTTTAACTTATTTCTTTTTTTACATATAAAAATTAATTTATATAATCAAATATTTTAAAATTTGATAATTTATAATTGAAAGCATCGCTATATTTCTCTTTAAGATTACGACGTTAACGTAATAATTGATTTGACCAAAGGCTTGTCTGAAGCATCAGTTAATGAAGCAATTGTCGCAATGAAGGCAAAGGGTATGTTTTTCACGTAATAAATCTCATATTGAATTTTCAAGTTGCTCCAAAATAGCATAACCTAATTTCTCGACAACTTTAGAAATATGCAATCCTTAAAACAAATTGTTGCTTCCCATTAGGAAAGATGTGCTCGAAATTTTTTATTTTATATATTCTGAAGTTTTCAGAGAAGACGTATTTGACACACTATATGACGTACTGTTATTACATTTATACTTCTTTTCCTCCATCTAATCTCAATAGTGTCCTTCATAATCTATCTCTATGTCTTTCTTCAATTATCGCTTGGTCTGACTATATGTGTCTTAAACTTAATCCTTCTAAGTTTGAATTAATTTGTTTTAATAAATCTAAAAACTCTATTACTATTCCTCCTATTATCTTGCCTGATTCTAATACTCTTGATGTCTCTCAAGTTTCGTAGTCTAGGTTTTATCTTTGATTCTACTATGTCTCTCTTTTCTCAGATTAATAGTGTTGCTAGAAGCTCTTACTTTCATCTACGTAGAATAAAAAACTTTTGCCTTTTCTTGATGATCCTACTCTTCTCCTTCTTGTTACTTTGTTAGTCTTATCTAGGATTGATTATTGTAACTCGCTCTACTATGGTCTTCCTGACTCTATACTCTATCCTTTAAGTAAAGCTTTTAACTCTGCTGCTCGTCTAGTTGCTCGTGCCCCTTTCTTTTCTCACATATCTCCATATCTTGTTCTCTTGCACTGGCTACCTAAAAAAATATAGAATAATTTTTAAAATTTGCACGTTCATGTATAAGTCTCAATCTAAAGTATTTCCTAAGTATTTATCAGATATATTAATTGAACCTAAACGCCCCGGTTTACGATCGTCTTCTTGTTCTCGCTTTTTCTTAACTCGTGTTAAACACTCTTTTGCCAAATCTGCTTTTGCTTTTTCTGGTCCTTTTCTCTGGAACTCTCTACCTATTTCTCTGACTACTTCTCCATCACTTGCGAAGTTT